AATTATTTTTTAATACAATATTTAAAAATTACCTTACTCAGTTCTTTCATTGACATATTTTACGATTTAATTAGTTTTTCAATAAAATAGAATAATTATTATATTTCATTTAAAAATGTTATATTAAATATAGACGAAGTATAAATTGTACATATGTATATGTATATTTGCAGGAATTTGTAATTGTTACTTTCACGGAATAGTTACATTTGTATTTTAAAGTGTGGTATAAAATAAGTTTATCATACAATATATTTTTTATCTCATGATTTGAGAATTCGTAACTTTCCTTGCTATTTTAATATCAATTCCAAATGATATAATATAAAATAAAATTAACATCAATAATAGATTAAAATAAAATTTTAATTATTTAAATATAAACAAATAAATTTGAATATCATAAATAAATATTTCATAAAATTGTGGGAAGATTTTTTTTTAATGTTTACATTAAGAATTACATATTTGTTTTATTTTGTATTTCAATGGTTTAATGGTAATAATGATCAGTGATGACAGATCTATGTTAAACATGGTTTATACATCGAGACTATATTTTGAACAATAAAAAATAACAATAAAAAAAAAAAGAAATATATAATTATTTATAATTATAAGTTAAGTTAACAAAATAAATTTTATACTTAAAAGAATATAAAAATATATAATTGAAAATTTTTAGTAAATAATATTATTTTGTATCTTATATAATGAATATCTTGTACTAATTATTCTTTAAAAATTATATAAAATTTGAATAATAAAATGAATACAAAAATGACAAAGAAAGAAATTATACAAGCTGTAGTACTTGCAGATGATTTTTTAACAAATTTAACACCAGTACAAAATATATTTCCAAGAATATTGATGCCCATAATAAATATTCCACTTTTAGATTATTTAGTGGAAACTCTTATTAAATCTAGAGTACAAGAATTATTTCTTTATTGCAGTAAATATGTGGATTTAATAAAAAAATATATCAAACATAAAAATTGGTCAAAAATATCAATTTCTTTAATTGTATCAGATGTTTGTACTTCTCTTGGAGATGCTCTTAGAGACATTGATACAAAAGGTTCAATACGTAATCATTTTATACTTATAAGAGGAGATGCATTTATTAATGCCAATCTTACAAATCTCTTAATAAATCATTGTACAAAACTAAACGAAGATAAAGGTGCAACAATGACTATGGTGCTAAGAAATATTGGTTCTACAAATCAATCTTTTTTAAAGCAGGAAACATGTTTAATAGTTTCTGATAAAAGCAGTAAAAAAATTTTACATTATAGTAAACTAAGAAATGATGAAAAAAAAATAAAATTAGAATTAAATTGGTTTTTGAATCATAGTGAAATTGAAATTAACACTTGTTTTTTGGATACTCATGTTTATTTATGTTCTCCATCTGTACTTCCATTATTTTCTGATAATTTTGACTTTCAAGTAAGTAATATAATTTAAAATACATAAAAAAATTAAATCTTTCAAATATATATGTATAATAATTATAATAAATTTTTTTTTAAATGTGTTTATGATATGATATTAAATATTTGTTTAAATTTTTATAAATAAAATATTTTATAAATATAATTAAAAACATTATAGAATAATAAATAATAATTCTTATATTTTTTATTGACAGACAATGGAAGATTTCATTCGAGGAGTATTGATAAATGAAGAAATTTTGAACTCTCGAATTTATTGGCAACAATTAAATCCTAAAGACTATAGTTTGCCAATTGTATCATGGAATGCATATCATATTTTGAACAGAGATATTTTGAACAGACATAGTTTTCCACTTACACCAAATGCTATTCCATTTTTAAAAGATTTTATTTATATGCCAAGATGCACATATAAACATAGAAGTGCAACTCTTGCTAAAGGTTGTATATTAGAAAAAGATAGCATATTATGCCAAAATAGTATACTTGGAAATGATACTTTTGTTACAAGATCAATTATTGGAAATAATTGTTTAGTAGGATCTAATGTAACAATTAAGAATTCTTATATTTTATTAAATAATAAAATTGAAGATAATTGTTATATTACAAACAGTATAGTATTTTCAGATTGTATTATTAAACAAAATGCACAAATAAATGGATGTATAATATGTCCTAAAACAATTATTGATACTCAAATAGAATATATTGATTCTATTATAGAATTAAAGAATAATAAAATTTCTATAAAAAAAATATCAGAAATTAATAAAGATAATGAATTTCAATTTTTCAAGAATTGTGATATGATAGAATGTGATAATTATTCTACAGATACATCAAGTATTGATGAAGCTTCTGAATGTAATTCACCAATTCCAGATGATACAAATATGTTCTTATCTGAAGTTATTGATAGTTTACTACGAGGTTTTCAAGATAAACTTAACTGTGATAATTTAATTTTAGAAATAAATTCATCAAGATATGCATACAATATTACCATGAGCGAAGTAACATATAATGTTATTAAAGCTATATTAAGTTTGCCTTTTCATTATCTATCAGAAAAGAAAGAAACTACAACTAATCAAAATTATCAAAGAAATTTAAAAATTATGGTAACATATTTTTATCCAATTATCTCAAATTATATTAAAACAGAAGATGCGCAAGATGATTGTTTACATGCAATAGAGGAGATAGCAAGTACAACTCAAGAATTATTACCATTTTTACAACATTTGTTGCATATGCTTTATGATAAAGATATATTATCAGAAGAAAAAATTTTAGAATGGTATGAATCTGATGATAAAGATATTGATTCTTTTGAATTTCAAAAAAATAAAGTGAGAACTGCAATAAAACCATTTATTAAATGGTTGAAAGAAGCTGAAGAAGATTCTAGTGAAACTGAAAATGATTAAATATATATTAAATTTATAATTTAGAAAATATTTAATCAATAATTTAGAAAAAACTTTTCAAACATCTTTATGATAAGAAATGAAATCTCTTTAATTCTTCTATTATATTTCTCTTAAAAATATTAATAATATTGAATCAAATGTAAAATGTAAAATAATAACATTTCCCATATATAATGTAATATTTTATTTTTGTGTTAATTTTTTTCTTGAATAACATTTTGAGCAATATTATTGATCATATGTAAATAAATTATATTTTGCAGAATATTATGTATATCGAATATATTGATTCTATTAAAACATTTTGAATTATATATTATATAATAAAAATAGAAATATAAATTATTCTATAGGCAAAATATTATCAATTAAATTATGCCAAGCTTGATGACGATGATCCGGAAATTTGATTACATCTATCCAATGTCGTAATCGTGCTCCTTTACTATTACGACTTAGTTCAAGTCCACCTAAATAAAAATATAAAAGATATTACTAATAAACATATATAGAATAGGGCATATAAACTATTTTGATTATTTTGTAAATAATAATTTTAATGAAAAATATTTCAGATAAAAGTTGAATGATTTTGAAAAATATATAATTTAACACAAATAATTTTTTTTTATAATTGAATGCACAAATAAAGATCAAATATGTTTCCTTAAATTATATATTTTTTATTAATTGATTTCATTGATAATTTTTTTATAAAAAATCGAAATTATTTAACTCTTATGAGAAAGTTATTTTTTATTAAAATCATTTACAAAATGATCAAAGTAATTACATGCCATACTTTGTATAAATTTTCTCTTTTCGATATAATATGTAAGAATAATTAAATTAAAAAAATATGTAAGAATAATTAAATTAAAAAAAAATACATAGTGCATTACCAAGATAATCATTATTCTTGCCAAAATCCTTATCCCATACTGTGAGATATAATGTTAATTTCATAAGGTCTGTTAATCGAGCAGTAAAAGTGAATTCTTCATTCCATTCTGGATTTAATGTTTTCCATTTAATTGTTGTATTTTGTGCATTACGACTTGTGATTTTTTTTGATATTAACTTTTTACCGGTAATACGAGCAATTGAATAATCGAAAATACGTTGACGATGATTGTTTGTCACGTTTTCTATAAGGCACAACTTGACAAATGGATCAGAAAATCCGTTACTATCCATAGGAAGAAGATTTATAGCTCGATGAATTGTAACTATCAATGCTCGCCGCCTTGTGCAGTAACTTAGACTCACTTGAATCTGTCCTCGTCCACTGGAAAATACGCCCCAAGCTGCTTCTTCGTTGTCCACCTATGCCAACGTCGAGCTCTTATTTCTTAGTGTCTGCAATAACGTAAGTAAAGTCGACCGTCGCGAAAAATTTAAAACGCGAAAAATGATTATGTTTATGAAGATCATTAATTAAAAATCAATAGAATTTTATATATAAAGGAAAATAATTAACAAAATATATCAATTCGAAGCAGAAAACTTAGCAGACAAATATTAAAAAATATCAACAAATTCGTTTCTTTTTGGTTTTTGAAAAAAAGAACTCAAATATAAACTTCGTAATAATCTTTTATGGCAAAATTAAATGTTTATTTTTAAAGATTGACATTTTATTAAATATTTTATTATAATTTAGTTATTGTTTAATTATATTTTAATCAATATTAATAATACTCAATATTAATATATATTATAAAATGAAATGTTATAAAATATTTAATAAGAAAATAAATTAATCTATACCATCGTTTGATCAAGAACAATTTTTACAATACCATGGAGACAAATATTATTTTTTAATATTTTTTTTTATACATACTGGATAGTGATCCTGTAATGGAACATTATAATGTTTTATTTGATGCGGTTGTAATTCATGCAGAGGAAATCTTGCTTCTCCTAGAAAATCTTGACCCGCTGGATCGTCCTGAAGAATCAAGATGTGCAATGCTTTGCCATTCCATATCTATCATGAAATATTAATTTATTTTTTTTTTTTTCATTTAATTTCATGATATTTTCCATATTAATTATCTGAAGAATTTTCACTTTTCATACATCAGTTTCCGTTGTTCCATAAAAGTTGAGAGTCTCGTTAAATTCTGGATCCCGCGTTTTGTGGATTGTCTTCGTTCGAAGTCGTTTTGTAATCGCAATTGAATTTACTGGTAATATATTGAGCTTGCAAAATGGATCAGCGAGATCATAAATATCCATTGGCTGTAAACCTCGTGCTCGTTCTACTTTGCATTGGAGGCACTGAATTATTGGATCATATCGTAAAGAAATTTCAAGAGTTCCATAATTTTGTCTCGTTTCTGTTTTGAAAAATATAATTTTATTACTTTATTCTTAACGATATTAAATAAAATTTTCTGATTCATTTTTCAAGCTGTTTATTAATAATTATGAATGTATAGTTTCATAATAAGACTCGCGTGCCGCATTTAGACTTTATCATGATTTTTACTGCGGTTCACAAATTGTTTGATTGTATATTTACCATAATCTGGTATTTGTTGTCGTATTAATTCGGTTTGATTATTACTGTCTTGTTCTGAATAAGATCGGTTTTTTTTCAGATCTATATATTTTTCGTGGATCTGAGATTGTTCTGAAATTTGTTCCGTTGACGTAATTGTCGTTGTCGGTATCGTTGAAACTGTTGTAAAATTTGATCTGTAAAGTATCAATTGAATATCACCTAAACTTCTACTCTTTTATTTATTATTTTTACATACCTGGAAGATTGTACCTGAGAACTTTTTAATTGATCGCATAAATTGAACTCTAATTTATGACCAGTTTCGTTAATATCATCAAATTTTTTGCTTTTTTCATCGATAATTTCATCTTCGAATGATACGTGTTGTTCAATTTGAAACTCATTGGAACTAGTTCTTCTATTTATCCGTGAACGAGGACTAGTAGGAGATGGTGAAAGACGACTGCATTGAGAGATAATAGAAAGGGTAGATCTATTTAATTGATCTGAATGCTCTTCTCGATTATTTAATGGTGAGGAAGCGTTTGATCGTTGTCCCGGTGACTTGGATGTATTATTGTTTGTTTGAATAGAATTTAATAATGTTAAATGAGTTTTGCTACTACTATCTTGATTTTTTTGTAAATTAAGAAATGAATTAGATTGTCCTTGAGCTAAAGCAAGCCGTCTTGTCGCTTCTTCATCAGAAGAAGAATCTTGTAATTCAGTAGATTCGAGAGATTTATTACCTCCGATTGTCCAAGTAGATGTTTTATGAATAGATCGTGACCATCCTCGTTCCTATAATTTTAAGAAATCCATATTATATGTAGTATTATAATAAATATATAATAATATTTCAATGAATTTTTTTTTTCTCATTTTTCATTTGTCACCTTTTTCTCCGGTAAAATGTACTTTGGCATTCCTTTGATAAACCAAGCTCCACTTTTTTTCCACATTTCTCTCGTCTCGGCACAGATTCGACAAAGATATTGTCTCTGACTGCTGCTCGATCTTCTAACGATTCGTTGCATAGTTATTTTTTCTTGCATTTTTTCTCTCGTTGTGGAAAGATTCGAAAATGTTGAGTTCAATTCGATACCACATTTCTGACATATGTATCTTCGACAATCTTTACAAAGATTTGCCGATGCACCTAATACTGCACCAAATTTTTCACCACAAAGAGCACAAGAACATATACAGTGTGTACTATTAAAACATCTGCTACTACATCTTTTCTTTTCATTTAACCTTGTTGTAGTTACAATACAGACATTACGTTTCATATTCTCTAGTTTTTCTACTAATCGGCCAATTCTTTCTTGTTCTGATAAATTTAAAGCTTCTGCTCTCTGAATTACCTACATCACCGAAAAATTAAAATAATAAATTTATGAATATTCTATAAAAATTGAATAAAATTAAAAATTAATTTTATTCAATATATATATGTAAGTATGTTATTGGATTAATATTTTTAAAAAAAGAAAAATTATTGAAAAATTAAAAAAAAAATGGTATGATTTAATATTTTAAATTATATTTATATTAAACATTTTTATTAAATATTTTATTATATTTATATTTAATATTTTTAATTTCTTATTGATCTTAAATCTCATTAATTTATCTCATGATAAATTAAAATA